CTTCTCAATTCTGGAACTCTTCATCCGGTTAACAAACCTAGCTAGGTGGTGCAGATAATTAGCAACTTATCGCAGCATATCTTATGAATTTGTATCACATCGAATTTTTGAGCAGCAGGAGCTGCATCAAGAAAGGAGCAAACTCCCATCAAGCATCATTCAGACGATAATTCACACAAACCAGATAATGCGGAAAAGCCAAATGTAAAACTCAATGGTCATGGTTGAATTCATGCCCTCTGGCAAATGGTGGTTTGCAAATGTAGAATTATTCTTCACATGTGAGAAAATACTCCTATGTTTTTTTGATCTTTTGGAAAAGGTTCTCCCGGTTTGGCCAATATAAAGTTTTGGGAATGAACCACAAGTCAATTCATATACTCCTGACCTATCTGACAGTGGAATTTTGTCTTTATTGTTTTTAAGAAATGTGCTCAAGTTATTATTTGTTATTGGTGGGTTCTCCAGAGCATGTCAAGGTCTTATGACGCTTTATATTTTTTCTCAATGTTTTATGAGTGTTTTTTAATATGATAATGGAAAAAGGGTGATGACTTGCGAGGAGAGTGTCATGAGATACAACTTTTTACAATTACCCCAAAAGAAATAGAAATTTGAATAGATTCTTATTCAATTTTTTGTTACAATATATTCAGTTCAGAGAATTATTTAGAGTCAAAACCTCCCACAATCGAATTATTGGAAGAAAATATTAGCTTCTGGATTTCTGGGTTCATTAAGTCTAGGAAGATTAGCTTTGAACCATTTTTCCACTTGACAAACTGCAAATTCTTAATGAATTTTTGTAATTTTTTATCTGTGTGTCTTCGGAATGAGGAGGAAGTTGATGAAAATTTGGAACAGGAGCGGTCCCAGTGTCTTTGTGGAACACCATTCTCAATAGGATCTAAGTTAGACTTTTTTTGGAAAAAAAGCTTTTTGGCTTTCTGCTCCTCAATCATTGTTTGAAACTTTTATTGAAAGAAAGAAAGAAATTAACTACAATAACATTCCTTTACAAAGATGTGTAGATCATGCTCAGACGTTTCGTTGTCTTTTAGATTGGCACATTGATTTCGATTGTATGAAAATGATGGGAGAAGTAATAAAGATATAACCCTAACTTTATATTCATTCATTTCATGAAGTAGTAGACGATTTCTATAAAATACTGAAAGTCACGACTGAAGTAAATGTTGCTTTTGTGTAATCATCTTCCTAGTTACGCTTATCATACCAAAAATGTTAATTTTAACCTCCTGACTCAGCTCTGTAGCTTAATAGCTTTTGTTCATGTTTAAGAATAGGTAGAGCATAAGTTCATGTTTGAATGATTAAAGGCGTGCAAAGACTGAAAATTCCCTGCTGTGTTTAATTCGACGAACAGGATTACGTATTGGGGAACGACAATACACAAATAATTTGGCCATATGCGATGTCAGTATTTGTGAACAGACTTCAAATTAGATATTATTCAATGAGTCTGTTTGCAATCTGGATATTCCCCGTTGTTAGTCAAGACGAATTAATTCACAAAGGATTGAATTAGTCATTGTTTGAAAAGAAGATATGATTTTGATTAATTGCGTGTCAAATTTTTTTTTCGAATATACTGAAGTAGATATCTTTCTGGATTTTAACATTATGATCATAATTGCTTTAGAAAAAATGTTCTGAGTAAAAACTTTGGGGTATCAATTTTTAATGTATCTGCGCCTTTATCGAATAATCTGTTTTTCCTCTTGTATTCGTATGTCTCATTTTGGATCGATTATCATTACAACAACACAAAATGCAATGTACAGATTCTGACACATTCCACTCTCGGTAAAAGAAGCGGGTTGGGACAGTTGAATACTGTCTATAAAAGTATTTATATAGAATCAACCTTCATTTAATGTTCCAAGTTAAGAAGTTTATTGTTATGTTCAAATCTCCAATCAATTGAATGGCTTTATTTTGGACATAACCTAGCAACTTCATGGTATATTCTATAAAAACAGCGACCTACAACTTTCATAATAACATATACTCTGAAATTGATATTAACAATTTTGTAATAAGTATATTTTTTGATCTGTCAAAGGCATTTGACACTGTGTCACCAATTTTCCATATATAAAGTTAGTTAGGCTTGGGTTCCCACATAACGTATCATCTTGGTTAAAATCATATATAAGTGGTCGTCGTATGACTGTTNTACTAGATGGGCCGAACACTTATTGGTTAAAAAACTACCAAGCACCCACCGCTATATGCCAAGAGTTTTCAACTCATAGCTGGACGGAGACCAGCCGATTCCAGATTGATTTATCGAGCGGCGGACCCGTTCTTATTCCTAAAAACCGAGATTGGTCGATTCCTTGAAATTACAGTCTGATAACATGCTCAAATTTGTCTCATAACTTGTTCAGACGCATCTTATATACACAAATACTCACCGCAGTTGACCGAGTAATCGAACGGATATATGAGTAGAGAGGTTCGAAGAGAGGAGTCACTGGATATAAAGAGAAGCTGCTCATTGACAGATATGTATTACAGGACTCGACATAGTATAAGCGTAACCTCTCAACATCGAAGGATTATTAATTCATACCAGAACCTAGCAGGAACTTGACAGCGCTGAAAGAGAAGATCAGTGGAGACCTGAAAAAAATCATTTTTGGGTCAGCGTGCCTTCCATTTCCCTAACGATAGTTTGGACCCTTTACCAACCGGGAAAAGGGTCCGAAAAATCTGATGAAACTGATGAAGGTCTGCCGAGTAGACAGATCACAGCAGACTGATCATAACTCATAATCAGTTTTGATAATGAGTTATTGTCGCACATTGTTTCACGGTGCAAGGAAAACAGCAGTATGATTTCAATACTGAATACAACGAAGCCCTGAACCAATCCAAGGAGACTTATGGAGGAAGCAATTTGAGGAAATTGAACTATCGAACGAACCAACTTCAGATCAGGTGGAGCAAAACTATAAGAGATCTTCTTGGGTGCCGTTTTCCGGGTCAATGATGAAAAATTCAACACCACATCTTAGACAAGTACAGATAAAAATTGTGTGCGATCCTCAAAGTGATCTTGGCTCTGGGATACATTTACCAAAAAAAAAAAATAGAGACTGATTAGGGCTACCTTCATTGTGAAACCCCAGATAGAATTCTACGAGGACATTGAGACCAACCAGTCTCATGTCATTGGTAGAATCACTAAAACTCCGAAGTGGAGGGATATATTTGTGGGGAGAGTCAATTATCTGGGAGTGATACTAGATTCCAACCTAATTTGGAACCATCATTTAGACATAGTAGAATGGGAAAGCTAGTCCTGATATTAGCAAGAAGGGCTGAAACCGAACATATGATTGTTTATTTTGGTGGCTGGAGGGAAAATAAGCGATTTATATCAACAAAAATGCTTGTTCAGGAATGAAGGAAGCAATGAGAACCACCTAAAAACAGCTCTAGCTTGCAGGTTTTGTTGGGGTAACAAAAACGGATCTTCGACACTATTTAATCATTATCTGAGTAAAGAAAAGTAGGATGGGAAATAATTTCCTGAGCTGATTTTCGATATTCATGTCCGTGCTAGGGATTGCACATTAAAAGCAGTAATCAACTTGGATCTTTTATAATAGTGTATGATTAGACTGATAATGAAAAGAAAAATGAAAATTTCTTATTGTATTGTATTATATTATTGTATTATTTGTAACTAACGTGACTGCAGTTTCGTCCTATACGGACATTTTCAAACTTATACAATAAGTTTATTGTATAAGTTTATACAATAAGTTCATTGTATAAGCTTGAAAATGTACAATAAGTTTGAAAATGTCCGTATAGGACGAAACTGCAGTAACGTTAATTGCAAATAAAGGTGGTAAAAAACATAGAAATTGTCATTTATCTTTTCATTATGATTTCCTACCACGTAGTACCGGCTACATCCATCAATTGATTAGACTGATACTTGCCGTAATTAGAAATTTTTGAAACGACAAGAATCCTGTCATACAACAAAAATTATATGTACATGATATATCGTGACCATAAATTGTCCTGAAAATAAATTGACTTGAATCGAAAAAAGTGACAGTCGTCAAATCGAATTATTTTTCAATATAATCATTGTTTTTATGATAATTAACCAAGTGAGCAAAAAAAATTACTGGGTATTTTTTTAAATTCCATACTTGTTTTTTATCAAAACAAATTTTTAATTATTTTTCAATTATCACATTAAACATAATATATTAACAAAACTTGAGAATTCCAAGAAAGAGACAGAGGTTGGGGTCTTTATGAAACTTTGCTATTGAGGGTTAACTTAAATAGTCAATAAATGCAGGCATTCAAATAAGAAACTGGTACTCAATATTCAAAATAATGAACTGTACTGTTCTCTTTGGTCTGTTGTGATGGCTCTTCATCCGTGTACAACTAGTGTTGGTAGAAAATCATCATGTTCTCAATTTTCAAATACTCTTCAAAAAATGAATGTATTGAACTGCCAATGAAAATTAGAAATATTCAAAATTTGAATTTATCCCGGGAAGCAGATTTACACGTGTAATGGACAGCCCATTTTGAAGAACAAACATCATTTGAAATAAGTCTCTGGAGCAGACTCCCCAGTAGGCCATTCCGTATCTAATATGGAAATCTATGAGAGCAAAATAAGCTGTTTTTGAATGGTTACAGCCTAGTTCTGTTGAGATGACTCTCAGCATGTTTCAGCCTGAGGCAAGCTTCTTGCTTAAGTTTATTGTAGGGTCCTTGGACTTCAATTTCATCTATATTCAGCCCAAGAAATTAATGAGTATATATACTTTCTAAAATTTCGTTACCAAGGCAGATCTCTGGTAAGGTGCACAAATGATTTCATTGATGTTGAAAAAAACTTATCAAATGATCAGTTCATCAATTCCAAGTTGAGTTACGCTCCAAAGTTATACCTAATGATTTGAGTAATGGAAGAGAAAACAAAAAAGACTTCAAATATATAAGAATCAGGAATAAATACTTACTTTGAAAGCAAAAGGCCAATGAATCAGAAACAAATCAACATAATCCAACTTGAGTGATTCTAGAGATTCCCTCAATTTAGGTACTACATTTTTTGTCTCATGGAAATTATTCCAGAGCTGTAAAATAAAAAAAAACTTCATATCTGCCTAGAGATGAAAGAATAATGAAATTCATTAGTAAATATACGAGAATACATGATTACTTCAATGATCATAAAAAAATACGAATGGAATATGAGATTCTTCAAGGAACAAATCTGGGTCCAATTCTAAATCTAATATATAAAAATGGATGTTTGTTGGTTGGTTGGTAAAAGTGATAAACTTCTACATCGCTCAACCGATCGTGATGAAACTTGACATGAATAAGTAATTTTTTATAGAGGTTTTAATGCTATCAATTTCTCTGTAACTCGCCACTAGATGGCGCTGTAGAACAATTTTTTGAAAGCACTGTTCTATAACGCTGCACACGCCTAAGCTCGTGGATTCTGATTCTGTCAAAACATTGGAACAGCAGTGATACAGCAACATAGTACTAGTTTTCACTGGACATGCCCATTCAAACTTTCCGTAAATGACATTTCCAGATTTTTCAAATCTTGTTTTTAGGGCATAAAATGCCCTTTCATTTGTTTGCTTTCTTTCCTGAAACCTGTCCGTATATTCTGGATTTGAGAAAGCAGTTTCCGTCATTTTTCCGTAAAGCATAAACCATTAGCACCACATCATCCAACATTAAATTGTTGAGGATGATTAGTTCAATCTGCACTCGAATGAATGGAATTACTGACGAATTTTGAGATTCATTTTTTGAAGCCAGTCATGGACAACTGAATTTTTGAAGAGAAAAGCAGAATAAATATTTGTCAGGTTGTTTCCCCATGTGTTATATTCGAAACCACTACATGGAATGAAAAAATGTTAGTGGTTGGTTTTGATATTCAAAAAAAAAGTTAAGTAGATAAAAACGAAAATATATAATGTTCTTAATAAATGAAATAAATGAATGAATTAAAACTGAAAAAATGATTAATTTTTTTGTATAGTACATCCCCAAAGAAAAATGTATGAAATGTTGAAGTATGTCATCCAAATGGAAATATACAGGGTGGCTCATTTGAAAAACTGTAATTATTAGTTTGACAATGGATGAAACATAACTAGTTTTATCAAGTATGTGAGAAAATAATTTCAAGGGATAGTTTTGACTTTCTATGCAAAATATAATTCAACAAAAGGCTCTTGAAGACTCACGAATATATTATCTATGCTCATGCATGAATGTTGCTACTGAAACTCAATGATCCAAACCTAAGTACATTATCATAGCCCTAATGGATCTTTACCTTGGTAACAATGAATAACTCTTCTCTCTTAACAACTCCTTCTTTTAGTTTATCACATATAGCATCACCAACTTCTTTTTCGTTTTTGTAGTACCATGCTGTATCAATGTGACGATAACCAATATCTATGGCATACTTAACTGCCTCTTTCACTTCATTGGAATGTGACTGGAAAAATAATTACATTGTATTTCAATTGCCCTATATTTAATGGAACAAAATTAATATTTACTTTGTAGGTTCCTAGTCCAATAGTTGGAATAAAGAGACCATTATTCAGTTGAAGCCGTCTCATGATAAATTCTTGAACGTCTTTTGCTCTTTTAGATCAACAACTATAAAAATTGATAACTGCTAATACTAATGATAAATGCTAATACTAATTATCCAATTATCCTTAAGTTATATAACATTACAACCACATCATGGTTGCCAACCCAATAAGGTTGTTTTGCGCGAGCGCAAGGTTGATGTCAAAAATCGACATAACCTTAATTATAGATTATGTCGGTTAATGCACCTCATCACAGCTATGCTGTGACCTCATAACCACCGACATAACCTATAATTAAGGTTATGTCGATGCTCGTAATGAAGAATTCAGATGGGCAAACTGTGTTCCTAACCAAGTGTCACCCTTCCTTGAAGCTCGAATCCAAAGGTTTTCCATTTCGAGTGTTTAATCCAATTATTATAATATAATCTAACTTCAAAAAGAAGGAAAGAGAGATAATAAATATTTACTGAGAGTTGAAATTAGTCGAAATATTCATCAGATGAGAAAACTATTGTACATAATACCCAAATGGCTCAATGTATTTTAAATAATTTGTGTTTTTCCTATTTCCATATTGCTGATCAACCTTTGAATGCAATCAGCTTCAGAAATTAACTAAATTTTTCATAAGAATCTTTTACCATTTTTATTTATCTTGAAATATTTTGTGATCAATTAAGCAAAATAGCATAACTAATTTGTGTTTTTCCTATTTCCATATTGCTGATCAACCTTTGAATGCAATCAGCTTCAGAAATTAACTAAATTCTTTATAAGAATCTTTTACCATTTTTATTTATCTTGAAATATTTTGTGATCAATTAAGCAAAATAGCATAACTAATTTAGCTAATACTCATATATTATTTTTGTACAAAGTAAATCGCATTATAACAAAAATTTGTCCTCTCAAATGGATTTCATGAAATAAAAAAAATAATCAAGAAAATAGTGCAGTAGAAAGAGAATCTGGGATTTTTTGTTTCGATTAGTTTCAATTTGATGAACTTTCAGTTCGGATTGTATCAAAAGCATGATCAAGTCTCCACGTTTTCCATATTCTCTAGGAATTGTGTAAAGGATTATCTGCTTCCTTTGCTAATCTTATTCTCTATAGTATTTCTATAAGCCGTCAAATAATATCGGGTTGAGGACATGCAAAACGATTTCCATTTAAAATTCATTTTTCAGATGTGATGAAAGGTTCTTATTGAGAATTCACTGAATTCCTAAATGTGATTACATTCAAAGGTGAATCCGTAATATGGAAATTAGAAAAACAGAAATTATTTAAAATGCATTGAGCCATTTGGGTATTATGTGCAATAGTTTTCTCTTCTGATACCAACACAAACATTCACTGAAAATTTTACATATTTACATCATACAAGAAACACAATGGTAAATGGAATAGTAACTGCTTTATGATTTCTCAATATTAATTATAAAATAAGCAAATGTCAAATTGTTTTACTAGAGTTTTGAATCGCTCCCTTGCGGCAGTGTTCCTTAGAATTGGCATAATCTCACAAGTAATTTAAGAAGAGGAAATATGGTTAGGAGAACGTTGAATAATCAGAAGGGTAGGGAGAGCAGAATAAGTTTAAATTCATTGAATTGAAATGCTGAGAGAGGTGGAATACCGATACTCGTTATATATTTAAAGCTCATAGAAAGCAGGTTTACGGTTAGTCGCTTTCTCTTAGTGAAAAGTGAAACTTGCTAGCATCTAAATCGAGACCAACCATGGGATCTTGGCCTGAAAACGTAGGAATACTAGCTCTGGAGTTAGTTTTTCCTTCTCGGTATGTAGACCAAACCGAGCTCGAGAAATACGACGGCGTCTCCGCCGGGAAATACACAATCGGACTGGGGCAACAGAAAATGGGATTCTGCACTGACCGAGAAGACATCAACTCCCTGTGCCTCACTGTGGTAAAGAAGCTGATGGAAAGGCACCACGTAAGCCCTAGTGACATAGGCAGGCTAGAAGTAGGTACCGAAACAATAATTGATAAGTCTAAAAGTGTGAAGACGGTGCTGATGCAGCTTTTTGAGCCCTATGGGGTGACAGACATCGAAGGAGTTGATTCCACCAACGCTTGTTACGGGGGAACTGCAGCCTTATTCAATTCCATTTCTTGGGTCGAGTCTTCCGCCTGGAATGGTCGTTACGCTCTGGTCGTGGCAGCTGACATTGCAGTTTATGCCAAAGGCAATGCTAGGCCTACGGGAGGTGCTGGGGCAATAGCGATGTTGATTGGACCAAATGCTCCTCTGGTTTTCGATAGGGGCATTAGAGCCACTTACGTCAAACATGCATATGACTTCTATAAGCCTGACTTGACTTCGGAGTACCCTGTAGTGGATGGGAAGCTTTCAATTCAGTGTTATCTTAGTGCTTTGGACAACTGTTACCAATTGTATAAAAAGAATGCTGCTAAAAAGTTGAAAACAGATGTTAGTTTGGACTATTTTGACGCCGTGCTGTTCCACTCTCCCTACTGTAAGCTTGTGCAAAAATCCCTAGCTCGCCTATCCCTAAATGACTATATCCAGTCAAAAAATAAGTCCCAAAAATTCCCAGGCCTGGAACAGTTTGAGAACGTCAAGTTAGAAGACAGCTACTTTGACAGGGATGTCGAGAAAGCTTTTCTAACCTTTACCAAAGATAGTTTCACCAAAAAAACCCACCCCTCACTTTTAGTGGCTAGCCAGATAGGAAATATGTACACTCCGTCATTGTACGGGGGCCTCGTTTCGTTTCTAGTCAGTAAGGACATATCCCAGTTGGCAGGCAACAAAATAGGTTTGTTCTCCTATGGTTCTGGCTTGGCTGCGTCGATGTTTTCTATCACAGTATCCACGAACGTTGAAGGAGGACTGAGAAGGCTGGTGTCGAATTTAGGTCACATTAAGCCCCTTCTGGAACAGCGGGTAGAGGTAGAGCCTAGTAAATTTGAGGCCATGCTGGAACTCAGGCAAGAAACTTGCCACAAGGCTCCATACGAGCCGATAAGTAGTTTGGAGTCCTTTTTGCCAGGCACATATTATTTAGTGAAGATCGATGAAAAACATCGAAGGTTTTACGAGAGGATTCCTTTAGCAACTAATGGGCATGCATAGGTATGTAAAGAGCTAGCAGATTTCTTGGAAAAAAATTATTCAACACTTGAATTACATTGAGTCTGACAGTTTTAAAGTTCAGTGATGTGTAGACATTATTTCAAAAATCAGTTGGACTTGGGTGCCCGTCTTCGATAGAGGAGGCATTTATACCTTGTTCAAGTAATACTATATTCTGAAATTTTCACTGGACAGTTTACAAAACCGGAATACGTGTTTTGCCATGTAATAGTTTCCTCAAGCGCTTTTATGCTCATGAGTATGAAAACGAAACAAAATACATGTTACGGTTTTGTAAAATGTCCTGTGATCTAGGCATACATTTTTGCAAAGAACTTATTTTGAAGTTAATTTCTTTCTTCCTTTCTTTGGAAGTTTCCCACACAAATTTGTTTGAAATCTAATTACCACTAGTTAACTTCATTTATACGACCGGTTTCGGGTTTAACCCCATTATCAAGTATAAAACTGAAATATAAAGTTTGAAAAGTCAATTACATCAGGAGTTTTCAGGTAAGATGTAAGCACAGGTAGTTGAACAACATTTTGTAGTTGTATAGAGTTACTTATTTTCAAATTGATTACTTCCTTCCTTTCTTTGGAAGATTCCCTCATTTTTTTTTTGTATCAAGATGAAAGCCAAAAACTTTCTTTCCCAATAGACAAAAGTGTTTTTATTCATGTCATTGAAGTGATCATGAATTACCACAAAATAAACAAGTCATCAATCTCACATAAAAGACTGATATACATACAATGAAAGATTTCCTTCAACATCTGATGGATGTTGCTTTAAATTTGTTTCAAACTATGAAAATCTTGATTTGTCAAATATCATTTCAAAGGAGTCTCGACTTTCAGCTACAAGTTTCGTTTTGCTCACAATATTTCAATATTTTCAAGAATCTTATAATGAAATAATATTTTTTCAGTACATTTGTTAACTACTTGATTGTATTTTCTCTAAAAATTGGCTGCTCTTATAGACATTCCAGTTTTATGGAAATGTGATGACTCATTTAATCTATGTAATACATGTAAAAGTTGTTATAGAAGAATTCTGCTAGTTCTTTTCTAGTGTTTTAGCCAATTTAGATATGTGGAACAGGGAACATATTTTAAAGAACCTATTGTGTATTAAATTGTGAATATATAGCTCAATTTTCGAGAGGTCTTCTAGGAAATTTCATATTGTTGGTTTGTTAATAATCCATGCATTATACCCAACAATTTGAACATTTCTATAAAGCCCCCAACTTTTTATATCCAAGTGCCTACTAAAAATAACAAATTCATTACCTAATAATAATAATTTGGAGAAAGCTACTTTCCTTGTACAGATTGAATTAGAGGAATTGCATAAAATATGTAAAATATACCACTGATTGTATTGTCAAGTCTGCTAGAACTGAATACTAATCAAACTTTTATTTATTCGACTATTTATTATAGGTTACTGCTTAGATTATGGAACCTTCAATGTATTTGTAGATGTTAAGTGGAAAATATGTTTGTTTTATCAAAGAGAAGTTATAGCCAGTTAATATACAGATAGTAGGTGTTTTAGTTGTTCGAGTAACATTGAATTGTTGAGTTGTCAAGAAATGCATCACAAATAGCATTATCCTTGAAGTGATAACCAGGATAGGTCAAAAACACCCTGAGCAAAATGTTTGTAATAAATTTTTTACGTTTTTATATCAATAATGAAAGTTCAGTTTTTCAGGTTTTATTGAGGTTATTTCAATTTGAGATTTTATAAAAAGTCATTTCATAATGGTTTTACAATGTTGGAATTGAAATAATTGTTTCTCTTTTTTTGATATGTTGATGTACTTGGAACAATTTATATTTCTATGATGGTTTTATTTATACCTACTTACATCCATTATTAAAATTGATTTTATTGACATTTTTGTTTTATTTGCTAGGAGATGAAAACCTACTGCTATAAGTACAAAATGAAATTCAAAATAGACAAAATATTTTCAGTTGAATACTGCATACAGCGATTTCAGAAAATAGGGATCAAGTTCAATTAAATTCAAACCCTGAATCTGTTTTTCCCTTAACCAGCTGTGGCCTCTCTATGAACGATAACTCGCAAAAGTCGACACTTGTGCGAGTTAAGGACTAACGAGGTCTTATCTTTCAACGGGTTGGATGATAGCAAGTGAAAATCAATCGTCCGCTAGGCCGTAGCCAAGGGGGGATCAACGGGGATTGGCTTGTTTGAACATCACAGGAGCCATGAGAACAACACCAACTGCGGCAATGGAATCAATTACTGGTCTGTCCCCTCTGGACCTGTATGTCAAGGAGGTTGCCTTATTGGCCATGTTACGATTGCGTACGGCTGCTGTAAACCTCAAAGTAGGAATGGGTTAATTGAGACTGAGCCTATGTCGAGAAGCGTTTACTGCGCAACCTCTGCTGCAGGCAATCAGTGATGCAATTGACCCAGGTTTGTGTTTATTAAACCCTACAAAATACAATTAAAGCATGAACAGTCAGATGCTAAAAATGCAATATGCATACGGCTCAAAAAACAAAGAAGGCTCAGGATGTGAAGTGTACTCCAGATCAGTAAGCCTAAGGATTAGTGGGGAGTGGGAAAAAATACCAGCGTGGTTCAAACAGAACTGGCTGATATCTCAATTGCCACAAAAACATAACAATCTGCACTGATAGCAGACAAGCCTTGAACAGACAACGTGTTACCTCAGGGCTAGTACTAGAGTGTCAACAAGATTTAGCCAAAGCCTCGGTAGATAATAACATTATCCTGAGGTGGATTAAAGGGCATGACAGAAGTAAAGGTAATCGCATTGCCAACTCTTTAGCCAAGGAAGCGGCTGGACTAAGAATTTTTGGACCCAGTGGCACATAAATTGCGGAACTAGCCAAACGTTACAGTCATGCTCAATCCTTAAAGAGATGTGATGGAATCAAAGGATGCAATCTTGCCAGGAGCACCCTGGGAAGCTGGCTGAAAAAATCTACGCTTAACAGTTGGATTTCTGACTGGCCACTGTCAACTAAGAAAACACCTCCATAAGAGTTAGAGGACACACCTCTATGCAGGTTGTGTGAACAGGAAGATGAAATTGTCAGGCATGTCCTATGCGAGTGTCCGGAGTTATCGTCAATAAGAGAGTGTGTGTTCGGCGAGTCTTGTCCTACACCTGCCGATATAAAGGAGAGGTCTCCTTTATATCGGCAATGTGCGTACAAACTTTTGAAGATCTTGGCGACACTACCTGTTTCCTCATGTACCTTTGAAATAACTTTCTCTTCTGTGAAACGCCTCAAAACTTATTTAAGAGACTCCACAAGCCAGGAACGACTAAACGATTTGGCGTTAATGTCAATCCACCGTAGAATTGGCATTGACACCGAGGAGGTAATTGATTTGTTTGCTGCAAAAAAAGCTAGAATATTAAATATGATTTTGTAAAAAGTCCCCCCCAATTGTTCTCTGGCTACGACCAGAGGTTTGAACCACCAGTTTGCACAGCGGTCGATTGACTGAGTGGAACTGACCACCCATTTCAACCCACCAGCTTACCATCATACCAAAACATCATTTGAAAAAATTGACATATATTTTTGTTCAATATTTCTCAACTTGAACTTGAAAGATTATTTTGTTTACTAGTAAAACATATTATTATAGTTTCTGAAGAAGAAATGCTCTCAGCTCTGTAGAGCGAATACTCCCGGTCGAGGTGTCACTATTGATGTAGGAGCCTTTCTGAATGACGGCTCCATCGCAGTATATGAGTATACATTTAATGATTGGTCCACTCCTTTATTTATAAAATAACCACAATTATATGTATATCACAGAAAATGGGAGAAAATATAGTTACATCAAAAACCAGTCTGTAACTCATTGGAAAACGAGTACAGTCATAGGTACAATGTTGAAATCATGTAAAATAACATTAATGCAAAAATCTTCGACATTGAAGTCTGAATTTTTGACAGAGGAATACCAGGGCTGAATTTGTAAGATGCACATCCGATCTAGGAAAGCGAGATATTGGGCTAATATATAAATAGTTAGTTTGATGATATGCATCAGCAAATATTTCAGGGTTTCGAATACTTTACTTCAGGACTCTGAAGCTGGTTAGAGACGACAGATCCAAACAATCTATGTCCCCTGAGAGCCACTTGAAAAAAGTGTAAAGATCAAAGTACCTATTTACTGTCCTTAACTCCTTTATCTTGACTCTCATTTCATTGTAAGTCCATTGTTCTCTAGGAATTTAAAGTTTATTGATGCATTACTTAAGAAACTTATTCTGTATAGCCTCGATTTTATCAATATGCACCTGATAGGAATGTGATCAAACAGGAAAACCACATTTTAGAAGGAATTTGACTAGATATGTGTACTACCGAAAGGATGTACGACTCCGCCCATTTTGTATCACTAATGGAACCTTCAAGATACCGGGTACCTTCTCATCGTAGAAAGACGTATTACAGTAATATGTGGCTTCTTCTAATGGACAAGTTACTACGTCTTCTGGAACATAACGAATACAAAGTATTGGAGTATGCAGATGACTAAGTCATCCTAGCATGCCATGAAAATTATTATGGACCGAGAAAGAAGGGCTGAATATAAGCTCAACGAAATCGGTTATAGTAGTATTCGCCAAGAAGACCAGGACAGAAGGCCTAGGACCCATTAATTTTGAGGTGAAGAGGAGGAGGTCAAATTCCTGGGACTTATACTAGTTCCCAGGCTGACATGGAACCAACATGTAGAAAGTGGAGGTAGCTAGCACTGTAGCTGGCCAGACGCACCTATTGAAAGATATTGGGGCTGAAACCAAACATGATGCATTGGCTCTACAGCACGTTGCTTGAACCCATGTTAACATATGCATCTATGGTCTAGTGACCAAAGATGAAATAAGCTACTGCTATTAACGAACTAAGTAGGGTGCAAGAACTTGCATATTCGGGAGTGCATCTTCCTCCTTCACATTTTGTAATAATTGGGGAAGCAATAGTGGGCCAACTCAGACTGACAAATTCACCAACCTAGATGGGATCGGTCAAAATAAAAAAATCTTGATTTGTGAAGGAACGAACATCTAACATATTCACCTCGGACCACATATGTCACCGAAAGCGAAGATTGGAGCACGAACAGTCATCCCTAAAATATGCTAGG